CCCCAAAACCCCAAAACCCCAAAACCCCAGAGAGTCAATTAAGTACAGAATATAAAAAGGATTAAAATTAAGATATATAAACATTATATAATTGTGATGCAGTCTAAAATTTCTGGACAAACCCATAAACTAAAATAATAAGAAGCCTTTGACTTTTCTGAGTAATATTTTAATTAGCAAGAACAATAAGAATAAATCGGTGTAATCAAAGATTTAGCTGGATAGGCAATAAATCAAAGCTTAACTCTTGCGAAACCAAATCCTTTGGGTAAACCGAGGCTTGATTAATATTATAGAATAGAAAGCTTTATTAATCAAGGCTCTCAAGCAAGGGTATATTTATGCAATTCTACCGACTCTACTGACAATAAGTAATACGTATTAAAGCATTACAAATTGAAATCTCAGGGATAATACGAAGTTATCCTCTAAGAGATAAAATACCTTTAAGATTTAAGAATATGCTAGAATATTATCCAACTAAAGTCTGTGTATTTAAGTGAAAGATCGCTCTATATGATTATTGATTATGCTGAATAGGGTGACCTTAATTAATAAATAAGACAAGGTATGAAATTTGATGAAGAGTAACTCAAAATAATAATGATTCAGTTACTTTTAGCTATTGACTTAACACACAAATTTTCCATAATCCACAGGGATTTAAAACCAGAAAATATACTGTTAATGAACTAGGAGACTCTAGAAATCTAGATTTCAGACTTTGGATTATCTTGCAACAATGACGACTTCAAAAGAAAAACTTAATATTGTGGGACTCCCGGTTATATTGCCCCAGAAATTATTTAAGGGAATGAATTCGATTACAAAAGTGATATTTTTAGTCTGGGATCCGTTATGTACTTTCTTATTAAAGGTAGATGTTTTTTCAAGGGAATCAACAGTAGAGAAAGGCTTATAGATAATTTACGAAGAGATCCAAAGAAAATATATAAAAGTTTATCAGGAATTGTTTCTGAGGAAGGAATCAAGCTGTTAGTTTAAATGCTCTCAGTAAATCCTAATACTAGACCTACAGCGGAGGAATGTTTGAAAGTAAGTATTTCTTATATTAATAAGACTTTTATTAGCATAATTGGTTTAGACGTGACAAAAAAAATAATCACCTAGTGTCTAATATTGAACCGTAGGTCATAAAATAATCACTTATTGAGTAATAATTAATAGACAGACGATTTAAAAATCAATTACAATAAAATTGTTCGAACTTACAGATAAGGAAAAAATCAAATATATCAGAATATGAGCAGCTTGATTTCAACAAGCCCACTCTTGAATGGAACATAAACAGCAGAATTAGCCCCTTCAGACTCTGTAATTTAAAGTCGTAAAAATAAATCAAAACAATACTAAATTACTAATGATTTAAGCAAAAATAACTTGGAATTTACCTTTAAAAAATATTCTAATAATATCGATCCAGTCGAAGTACCTGAAATCATAAAAAAACCAGAGGTATTTGATGAATAAGAAGGTAATGTTTCAATAGATTATTATGATGATGATAAAAAGTTTTTAAATAACATGGATCGCTTGGCGATAAATGAAATTTAAGATGATGACAGATTAATGTGCCTAAAAAATCAGACTAGATGTTTTAGAATATTTATCTGATGATATAATTGAATAACAATTGATTGAAATTAGTAAAATCAATTGACTCAGTAATAGTATATCATGTTTTGTTTGTAGATAATTCACAAAAACTGAAATCATTCCCTATTACAGATAGTGATTTAATATTGTTTTATTGGACTTGCGACATCAATTTTATTTATCAATATTTAATAAATTATCTTAATCTAATCTTTCTTTCTAATCTTGATTGCTTTTATTCCAGTGGGGTTTTGGGGTTTTGGGGTTTTGGGGTTTTGGGGTTTTGGGG